AACCCAGCTGGAGAACCTGCAAAACACACACACAGGTAGAGCCATAATTACACACACACACACACACACACACACACACACACACACACACACACAAAAGAGTTAGGCTGGGCTTAAAAGCAGAAAGAATATATTACCATAATGTGAACAAGAGATGCAGTATAGTACAACTTGTTTTTACCTGAAACTGTCCAGCCTGAGACTGAAATACTTTGCTAAACAGCACATTTGAGCTATCTTACAGTATTTTCTGTCCTATAGTAAGTAAGACATAACATTCAGCAATTATCCAGAAGTACCTGACTTAGTAGAAGTTCAACAAACATGATAAAGTATTTTTAAAACCTTATTTTGGGGCAACAAACCTTTTAGCTTAGCACAATTCTTCTTGTTATTTAGATGTATTTATCTCTATTTTTGGCATGGTGACTATTACAAATTTAATTCAGATAATTTTTTCAGCAAACTGACAAAATGAGCTCATAATCCTCTATCTTCTATACATGGCTGATGTGTGACAAAAGATGTTTCTACAACTCTTTTTACTCCTGGGTTCCCTGTTTGTTTTTCTGTATTAATGTGTGTGCTTTGTGTGGCCTGCCCTCCTGCTACTGTGCCTGGCACACATTCTCATAATCACCTCCTCAACCCTTGCAGTACACATTCCCAGTGTTTTTTTTGTTTGTTTGTTTTTTCATTAGGGAGAAAAAAGACCTTACTGTAGGGGGAATGGTGTTACCTCTGCCAGGCGTGAATGTTTATGAACATTCTCTCCTTTATGGACAGCTGGGGCAAGCTGCTGAAGAACTCCTCGACTGCTGGTTAGTGCACGAGTCAAACGAGCAAATTTACCCCACCCTGTCAAGGAGATAACACAACAGCATGAAGACACTGAAAACTTATCTTAACATTAAACATGATGAATGACTAAAACACTGCTGGATTTTGAAGCAACTAATGTTTAACCCAGTTAGCCATAGTAGGTTAGTTTTGTTGGTTTGGTTCTTTCCTTTTTTTAAACAATTTTAAATATTCCAACCATTTAATGTTAAAGACGGATAGCTTTCCATGACAGCAAACCGTAGTGGTATGACCCAAAGTATAGGAACATCAACTGAGATGAGACTTTCCCTAGGAAGGTACAAGGTATATGAATGGTCAGAATGGTTCATTTGTTATTGAAGGGCAAGATCAGAGAGGCTAAAGACAATTACAAGAGAAGGCTGGTTTGGAAACTCCAGCAGAACAGCATGAGAAAGGTGTGGAAGGCAATCACTGGATTCGGGCCAATTAACAGCAGAGGAGCTGGGGGCGGTGAGGACAGAGCTAATGAGCTATATGTGTTTTTCAACAGATTCATCACTGCAATGAATGATCACCACCCTTCTGACTTGCCTCTAGTCAGCGTGTAATACACAGCTACACCACTCTTTCTCGCTCTCTTACCACCTGGCACCATTGCCCCTTGTAATAGTTCTGACACCCCTCCCCCACCTATCACTTTCACTCATGCCCGGGTTCAGAGACTAATGAGAAGACTCCACTCAAGAAAATCTGCTGGTCCAGATGGGGTGAGTCCCTGTGTCTTCAAGACCAGCACTCGGACTCCACAAAGCTGGGTCTTGAAGACCCAGCTTTGTGGAGTCCTTCATAAACTGTTCATGATGAGTCTGAGTATGCAGAGGGTCCCACTGCTGTGGAAGACATCATGCCTCATTCCTGTGCCAAAGACGCACAGGGAATGAGACACACTGGGGTCCCAGTGGCCCCCAGGATTTCAGACCTGTGGCACTAACTTCCCATGTCATGAAGACACTGGAAAGACTTATCCTTGACCAGCTCTGACCTATTGTCAGGCCACATCAGGATCCCCTTCAGTTTGCTTACCAGCTACAAGTACCTGGGAATCCCACAGGCAAATGGGAACCATAAAGAGGCTGCTAGAAAAACTGAACACAACAAATACCTGCAGGGTCAGGGAAGTCCTGAGGTGTCAACTGAATGGGAGAACCGCATTCGGGCTATCAACTACTACGACCTGCTTGTGATCACATACCCTTCTGCAATAATAAGCTGGTCAAAGGAGGTAGAGGACACTGACATCAAGACAAGGAAGCTCCTGACCATGCATAGAGAGTTTCACCCCAAGTCCAGCACCCTGAGACTGTACACTAAGTGGAAGAAAGGAGGCCGGGGACTACTGAGTGTCAGTACCACAGTATAGGATGAGACAACAAACATTCATGAGTACATCAGAAAAATGGCCAGGACCAACTGCATGCTCAGTGAATACCTCAGACAGCAGAAACCCAAGAAAGAGGAGGAACCATCATGGAAGGACAGATGCCTTCACGGTATGTGCCACCAGCAGATAGAGGAAGTGGCTGACATCCATAAATCCTACCAGTGGCTGGACAAAGCTGGACTGACAGATAACACAGAGGCACTAATCATGGCACCACAGAAACCAGCTCTGAGCACAAGATCCGTAGAGGCTGAGGTCTATCACACCGGGCAAGACCCCAGGTGCAGGCTGTGTAAAGATACCCCTTAGACAATCTACCACATAACAGCAGGGTGCAAGATGCTAGCAGGCAGGGCATACATAGAACGCTATAACCAAGTGGCCGGCATAGTATATAGAAACATCTGTGCCGAATATGGCTTGGAAGTCCCGAGGTCAAAATGGGTGGTTGAGAATGACCTAGCTAAGATCCTGGGGACTTCCACAGACAGACAAAATGGCGATGGCTAACCAAACAGTCATAGTAGTAGTGGAGAAGCAGAGGAAAATGGCCGTAGTGATAGATTAGGGGGGTCAGCAACCTTTAAGACCCAAAGAGCCATTTGGGAAAACACTGGGAGCCACAAATACGTTTTGAGATCTAAAATGAAGATAACACTGTATATACTGTTTTTTACCTTTATGCTTTGTGTGAACAACTAAGGTGTGTTACTTATGAAATCCATGAAGTGCTACAGAGAAAATGACATTTTATTTATGTAATTAACACATTTTGAACTCTTAAAGAAATATAACAAAAGGAAAGACACCCAGCTGAACTAACATGATCCAGCAAACAAAAACTGTTGTGAGAAAGAAAGTCTCGATAAATGCGTGGCGTTTCGGCGGGTATACCGGCTTCCGCGAGTGTGACGCTTATTTTGAGTGATGAAAAAATAATAAAATATAATTTTATTTTTATATTTCAATATCACAATAAACTTCCAATTTAGAACTACAAGGTAAAAAAGAACTAACATAAATAAAATACACTTCAGCTAAATACTTCTAATTTATTTTCCCAAACCACGAGGAGCCGCACTATAACGACTAAAGAGCCGCACGCCGACCCCTGTGATAGATGTAGCGAAACCGAATGACAGCAACATCAGGAAAAAGGAAGTTGGAGAAGTTCCAATGACTCAGAGAAGAGCTTGAGAAGATATGGAGGGTGAAGGTAACAGTGGTCCCAGTGATAATCGGAGCACTCGGTGCAGTGACTCCCATGTTACGTGAGTGGCTCCAGCAGATCCCAGGAACAACATCCGAGATCTGTCCAGAGCAGCTCAGTCCTAAGAACAGCAAAGACACTGTGCAGCACCCTAAAGCTCCCAGGCCTCTTGCAGAGGACCCGAGCTTGAAGGATAAAGACCATCCACAGGGGGGAGAGGGGAACTTTATGCATATGCATGTATACTCCAAGATGAGGATACACGCATCCTGGACAGAGAGGAACAGTAGTTTGAGCAAGGAGTCAAGGAGGC